CCTGGTACCTGGAGGCGCTGTGAGCAATGCTGCTGTCTCAGCAATGCCAGTTCCTGTGTTTTCAGAGTGCTCTGGCTGGCCTGAACCAGCACCATTTTCAGCGTTACCATGGCAATGGCTGCCTAGGAAATGTGTATGATGAAGACACACAAAAGGCAGAGTCCAGCCAGGGAAAGGTGCCTGTGACCATGCTCAGCTGACACGCTTGCCCCTTGTGCCCCCCAACCCTTCACCCTGCAGCCAAGGAGCCCCATCTGAGCCCGCAACATGCAGCAGGAGCTGAGGATGAAGGTGGCTCCACATACCCACCTGTGCTCCATGTGCACTCCTGGTCCAGCGCCCTCAGTCCAGCTCAGCCCAGGGCTGCAGGACAGACTGCAGCAGGAGCACGTCAGGGGGTAAATGCTTTTGGCAATTAATATATTTGCATATGTCGATTTTATGAGTTGTTTTTTTGTTTCTTATGACTCCTTACTGTAAAGACCAAGCTCCCGCACAGATCTGCCAGTGTCTCTCTCCAGCCAGGCTGCAGCCAGGACCCCGCGGCTGGTCTTACCCACTGCCCTCTGAGCCATGTGTCCTGCCTGCATTGGGCCCCAGGACACCATCAGGCCACCAGTCTGCTGTGACACACTCCTTCATCTCCCACCTTGCCCCTCCAGGGCTGGTGCAGCCAGCCAGGATGAGCAGCACATCAGGAACCAGCAGGACCAAGACACCCAGCAGCCATGCGTGGAGAGCCGCCAGGGCCTTCTGCTGGGCACCCGAGGCAGCAGACCTAGGATGTCCCCAGGGATGCTCAGGCAGACCCAGGTTGTTTTCTGCTGCTCCAATTTGCTGGGCTCCTGGTGATCCAGCGTGTGGCCAAGGGCTCCATCCCACCATCTCTGCCTGCAGCCACTTCTCCTGGAGATGATGACTTGGTGCATGAGACACTTCCTCAGGTGGATGGGAGAAGAGAGAGTACAGCATATGGCTGCAGAAGGAGCTTCAGGGAGGATGGAGACCATTCATAACCCAGAGAAGGGAGAGAACAGAGCTGTTAAGACAAACTCTCCTCCTGGTCAGACAAGGCCCTTCCCCTCAAACCAGAACTTGATCTTCTCCAGTTCATTACTTCTCCCCCTGCTCAAGCTGATTGCTGTTTTGCAGGGAGCTTCACAAGGTGGAGTAGCTACTAGAACTGCATCAGAGAAAAAGTGAGGTTGGGAGGACCTCTGGAGGTCTCCAGTCCAACCTCCTGCTCCAAGCAGGGCTGGCTGCAAAACTGAGAGCAGGTCACTCAGGACCTTCCCCTTCCTTTTGAAAGCCTCCAAGGATGGATATGCTGCCGCCTCTCCAGCCCTGTCCTAGGGCTCCATCACCCTCTCATGGAAGGAGTTTTCCTTTACATCCAGTTACATCACTACCCATGGCCTCCTGCCCTTCCCCGTGTCTGAGAGGAGCCTGGCTCCATCTTGATCCCCAAAATCCAGAATGGTTTTGTCCACAACAGCTGGAAAACTGCCATGGCTGGAGATCCCCCTCCCACTGACTGGTGCTGGGCTGCAGCACCCTCATTGCCAACCTGAACCTGCAGTTTGTGGCTGTGCCCATGCCCTAGTTCATCTGCCACGGCCACCCCCTGCTCCTCTGTTTGAACCAGACAGACCCGCTTGGGCATGGGGGTCACCCCTCACCAAGCCGCACTGCTGCGGGTGGGTGACACACCGCTTCGTGGCACGCTCCAGCCCTTGTCTGTGCTTACACGTGTGCTGCTGAGGAGCACTTGTCTGCAACAACCAGGAGAAGTCTTGGGTAAAAGCCTCAGGCAGCACTTTGTTGGGTTTGGATGACGAGCCGCCTTTTCCTGCCCCATCAGAAGTCCTCTCAGCACCGGCTGCAGTCCCTGCATGGGCAAATAAAGCCACCAAGTGATTCTACAATCCAGGTGCCAGCCAGCAGCCACGTTGCCCAGGAAGTACACCACCAGATCGGCACAAACCTTGGCCTGCTGTTTGATTTGGGATTTTTCCTTTCACTGCTGTCTTGCCAAGACCATTTTTCCCTGTTCCCCCTTCTGAGCAGTCTCCTCTGCTACCCCAGCCTTACACTTCAGCTGCCAAACCCAAGGTGACCCTGTGCAGGGCTCTGGCAGCCTGCTGGTGGCTGTCAGGTCCTTGCTGCCTGCCTGCTGTTGGTATTTGCATGCGGCAGCGGTGCTCAGCACCCTTGGGCCGGAAGCAGGAGGCTGGTGACCTTTGCTGGAGCCCAAAGTGGTGCTCAGGTCCGAGCTGTGCTGGGTGGCCAGGCCCCTCCCCTGTCCACTGGTGGGTTTGCAGCCTCAAGCTGGTGGCCCCAGTTTGCACCCGCGGGTCTGTGGCTTCCCAGGAACACATCATGGCAAACTACCAGCTCCTCCACTTGCCCTTGCTGGGGCAGTGAAAGAACCCGATACCTGCCAGACTGAGCTGACCTGGACAGGTAAACACCACCACCACACAAGCAGAATCAAGTGGTCTGTGTGTGGCTGGAATTGCAAATGGACGGGCACAAAACCAGGAAAGATCTAACACCAGGCCCTGGGCTATTCCTCCACCTCATCCAGATAAGCTGGCTGGGGGTATCATAGCCCAAACGATGCCAAATACTGCACAGGGGCTCCCTCCCCACCTCAAGCCATTTGCAGCTCTGCCTGCAGAAGGGCAAGCCAGCCCTGTGTGCTTGCAACCCTCCTTTCTCTGAAGCTGCAGCACCCCTGCTACAGAAGCAGAGTTCCCATTTTCCTGAAGTCAGCAGAGTATCTCCATGAGACTATGTCCTTGGGGGAAGCTCCTGGCCACATCCAACATAGGTACAGGGAAAGGAGCAAGGGGAAAGTTTGTCATCAAAGACAGGATGGAGAATGGAGGGCTCCAAGTCAGGATTAACCACATGCCCAATAGTTTCCCCATGGAGACATTCCTGCAGCTCCTGTAGCAGCAGGACAGGAACTCCCCTCGAGTCCAGCCAAAATCTCCTGCTACCCCCGTCACCCACCAAACCTTCCCAAGGCAGCAGATCCTGCACACCGGGCATGCACAGTGAGCAGCACCACAGAACAGAGCCCACTGCAAGGACATGGCAGCCGGGGAGGACGTGCAGCCAAAGCCATCCCTGATACAGCACCACCAACTGTAGGGTGATTTTACGTAACTAAACCCTACTGGTTTTAGTTAGAGAAGCAGCTGCTAGTGGCCCACTCAGCCATCCCAAACGGCCCTTCACCACCGAGAAGTTGAGGCACCGGGGTCCCCCTCAGGGCTGCCAGCAGGATCCAGGCAGGTGCCCACCACGCTCCACCATAGCCGGAGAGGCCAGACCCAGCAAAGCTACTGGAGGGGGGCCGGGACAGAGCCAGGGTCTGAAGCTTTGCTCAGAGCTGCATTAAAATGCATGAGCTGTGCTTGCCTAACGATGAGCAGAGCTGTCAAACAAGGAGCTTGTCCCAGCTAATTATCTCTAACGAGGGCAGAGTGTCAGGGTCCCGGAAGACCTGGGCAGCAGCTTCCCACTCAGCTCAGTTGCAGAAGAGGGAGAAGATACGCAAACGCCATTGTGCTGGCCTAGCTACAAAATCACTCATTAGGCAAATGCAACCTTCTGTGCCAGTTTGCTCTTGAGAACCTGGACTTGCCAGAGCAGAGACATACAGACAGGCTGGAAACACCCCAGATTTTGCCACCCAACCCATCCCCTGTGGCGCCGAGTCTCCTGCACCCATGCAGAGACAGCACAGTCCCTGACTAACCAGCCCTACCAGTCAGGGGCTGTGCCACACTTCCCTTGGGGCTCAAATACCCCTTGTGAGTGCTCCAACCCATTCCCTGGCCCAGAAAGCAGCAGAGAAGCCTCGTCTTCATGAAATGCCACCATTTAGGTTGCGTTCACCTCACCACCATCCTCAATCCCAGCAGCTAGCACAGCCCTGCAAAGGCTCAGCCTCCTCAGCAGCCACCTCTGCAGCACTTCTCCCCCAAATCTTTAAGGCGGACATTAAGGCACTGTGAATTTCTGCTCCCCTGTGGTCCTACTCCGTTCCAGTGCAGAGGGGGCCAGTCACACGCTGCTTTACAAGCCCAGCTTCTCTATTACCATGGGTCCTGTGGCTTGGAAACCAAGACAGTACACTCGCCCTTATAGAGTGGGGGAGCATGTCTCATCCCAAGACATGGTTAAGGTGAAGTCTCTTCCAGGGGTGACAACCCAGAGATACAGCTCACACGAGGTCCATCCTGCAATCTCTGTGCTTGTCCCTTACCTCTGAGCTGAAGGGAAATGGAGGAGATGCTGTTTTATCTCCATTCAGAAAAACACTCAGGACCACAAAGCTTAGAGATGACACCCCTAATACAGTGTTGTTCCCTAGCATGTAATTATGGCAAGTGCTTTTCAGTCCCTTGTTACCAGACAGGAGCAAAGGCTTGAACACCCACTTCAGCTACATTTTTACGGAATAAAAGATTTAAAAGTCACCAACTTCAAACAGAAACAGTGCTGGGACCATGGGGTCAGAGTGGCCAGTGACTGGGGAGCTCAGCCCCACTGCTTGAGGGAAGGGCTTGGGGTCATGCTTTCGGGGCACAATCTCTGCTGCAGAAGCCTGGGGATTGATCTATGTTACACCACCACCATGTCTCCCAGGCCCTGCGGGAACACACTAATGAGCCATAAGTACCAGAGGAAAGTTTACTGATACTCCCAAAATACTTATTTCATTTTATATCATGATCAAACTCTCAACAGCAGCCAACTACTTGCACAGGCAGAACCACATTAAGTCAGTCTTACAGGAACACTTTCAGAGGCCACCGGATAGAAATTCTTCCCTCAGCCCACAGAAATGGTTCCTCATGAATTTCGGCTGTCGTTAGGCTTCAATAACTGCAACAAGCTCCTGGGCATGCTCTTCATGTGGCCCCTTCCACACAAGCGTGGTTCAGACTGAGGACTCAATGAACCCCATTGCTTGATCTGCAGGAGGGGTTTTGCTCCAAAGGTTTCTTCTACTGCTTCTCTGCTGCCTGTTCTTTAAGCTGGTTGACGAGCTCTTCGGCATACACCTTGAAGAGTGGGACAGGGTCCTGAAACAAGGCAGAGGACAAACCACTTAAAAGGAGTGAACCTGCAAAGCAGCAAGGGATGCAGTCTACTGGAGAGCCCAGGGAGTCACTGCTGTGGGAGTGCTAATAGTTAACACCAGAGCAAGATGTGGTCAGGTATTTTTCAGTGGCTTAACAAGGCAACCTGCTGCTTCTCCAGACATCTGGTCTGAGCTCTGTGACCGCCTCTCACAGATGACAGGCACCTGTGTGGGACATTCACCAGCTTTTCCTGTTCTGCCTGCAGATGGGAATCAACAGCAGCTCCCAGGGATCCCTTTCCATCTAAAAGGCTTCCCTCCCTCCTCACATTGCCCTCAATCAGAGCTGTACTGAAGCACGTTGGGTGAACATACCCCTTGAAGAAGCTGCAGCACCATGGGCTTCAGGGCCCAGCACCACCTCAGATAGTCGGTGCTTCTGACCTTTTTGTTCCTGCTGCAGGCAAAACGTGAGCCAACAGGTCTGGGAGAAACGTCACCATGAGAGGCTCATATGGCTACTCAGGAGTTTCGGGTCATTACTCAGGAGTGCTCAGGCTGTTCAGATCAAGAGGACGTGTAGCCTGATGCAGCTGAGACACCTCGGTGCTAAGCACTGCCTCAGGAACTCACCTTTTTTTCTAGGAGCCTCTGTTTTTCTATTGCTTCTTCTAAACTCAAGCCAACCCATTCAGCTTCCTCTTCTGGGATTACAAATTCCTGTGATAAAGGAAGGAGCAGGTGGTACAGTCTTTCCAGGTGACCAAGACGCATATCCTCTCTATGCCCAGCCCTCACATATCTGCAATCCAGCAAGAGCATTACTATGGATAAATCCTAAACCACTGTTCCCTCATTGCTGGCAGCTAATGTCCACTTCCTATCTCTCCTTGTCCCTTAGCGAGGGTCCTGCTTTCTCCAATCAGTCATGCCCACTGCTGTGCCTCTCCTTTGTGTAGTCCTAGGGCTGTTTCTCAGCACAAGTCCATGGACTGTGCATGCTTCTATGGTGGTGTTTCTATGCAGGCAGCCATAGGCTGCACAACACTGATCTGCACACAGGAGCTGTGGTCTCCTCTCTACAGAGTCAGTATAGATTCTCACTGCTGTTGGCAGTGCTGGCTGCAACCAGTGCTTATTGCAGACCCTCACTGAGCTCAATCAGAGCAAAAACATAGGTTTGTCTTCCCAAGTAATCATACAGCAATTGGGAGCCCACAGAGAGACATAAAAAACCTGACAAATTATGTTTACGCCTTCTTTGGCCATACCCTTAACCCTGAACACAGAAGCACTAACACTGGTCTGTGCTGTGAATGGGCAATTAGGGCATTATCAGTCTGGACAACGTGCAAACACCACTGCAGACACCAGGGCAGGAACTGCAGGTCAGGTACCCACCTTGTACTTGTTATATATGGCCTCTCTCCTGGCTGGATCATTGGGATGCAGTTTAGGATCCCGCCGTGCAAGTCGCAGCAGCATTGTTCGCTTCAAATCCATCCCAAGCTTCGAGCACATATCGGCTTTTGGAGTCTGGAGAAATAAAGTCAGATGTTGAATTGCACCAGAAGTCCAGCTGCTGGAGAACACTTGAATCTATCTGCACATAGACAGCACCGGCAGTTCGTCCGTAGAGACTTTCAGGACATGCATTATGAAACTGAAAATAATCCCTTGGGATTGTTCTGGAGCTAATGTGACCGTGGTTCTGACCTTTAACACCCAGGGCTCCAGTCAGGGGGGTATCAAAGGCTGGAAGCTTTTGACCTGCACTAACACACTAACAGCAGCAGACGCCTGCAGGCGCAGCACCGTACCTTGAGGATGTAGAAGTCGAAGCCGTAGGCCTCGTCGATGAGGTCCAGCGTGCGCATGGTGACGGTGATGGTCAGCGTGACGTCGAGGATCTCGCTGTAGAACTGCCGCTCGAAGAGCTGCGGCTTCCAGATCTTGGGCAGCCTGGTGGAGAGCTGGGCAGAGACTGGGGTCAGCGCCCGGGGCTGCCGCCTTCCCCGGGGGGCTGAGCTAAGGCCGGGTGGGCCTGTGCGCGGCGGAAAAGGGGAGGCCGCTGCCCGGTCCCGTCCCATCGTCCTCCCGCCCCGCT